AGTTTTAATATTACTACAAATAAAAAAAATAAACAAATTATTAATTTAAAACAGTAACAAAAAGCAACTGAAAACAACAATAAATAATGCCATAAAACTAGTTGAGAATGAAACGCACATTTTAAAAATATATAATTTTATTGAATGTAAAACAAATAGAAGAGAATAAAGTATTTAAATATATATAAATTCAACTAACAATTTAAATAATAGATAAACCTAAACTACAGTATAGAACAAAATACATAAATGTAAGTACAAACAAAAAAAATAATAATGTATAATTTTATTTTTAAATATTTTATTTTTCTTTTCTTTTTGTATTAAAACTCAAGATAAAAATGAATACATTCGGCAGATAACACGAATTCGTTATGTATTGTTCTAATTACCCTAATTACTTTACTTCAATTAGAAATGTATGATATATTCATATATCTTATCTACTGTGGGATTATATCTACTGTAGACTGTAGGATTAAGTAGATAAAATCTTTTAAATGCAAATAAATAAATTATAACAATAGTTATTAATCAGAAGGCTCAATATCTGGAGAATATTTATGGTAATTTAAGGCACACCAATACAGTGTGTTACATTTTTACTACCATGCTAACGTTGAGCAGATTTTTAAACTATATCTAGTCTGGTTTTCGTAAAATCAAAGAAAAACTTTGAATTTATTGACAACAGTTTAACAGTGTTGGGTTTTAACCAAAACAGGTTAAAAAATGTGATAATACCTAAATAATGAATATTCCGTTATATATTTTCATTTGTTTTCATTATTATATATATACATATATATTATAAAGGAATACACGTTGTTATTGTTCAGTGTTAAAATATAGAAGCCAAACATTGTCGTTATACATCGAAAAAAGACTTATTGTACAATGGACTATCGTGGTTTGAGTCCAACATTTCTTTCTAAACATGATTTGCAAATGGTAATTTTAGTGGGTTAGAGTGTCACACAGTGGCTGTCGATATAAAATGGATAAACTACTGGCCCGTTACGGTCAAAAGTTGAACCCCCTTTCCACTTATCAAGGGAAAGGCAAACATTAGAACACAGAAGGCTAAGTATTTAGACAACATAAAGGAGAAGGAAATGAGAATGTTCACGCTAAGTATTAATTAGTGATTAAGAATAAATATTATTTATAATTGCTGTAATCACGATTGCAGAGTGGGATTACAGAAGGCACACGAACGATATCGACCAAATAAAGGGTCAGGAATTGTGAAGGCTTGTACCTTAGATTGTAATACTACTTATAAGTGGATTTTATATCAAAACCCACTCATAAATCTGTAGATTTAGTTATTAATAGCATATAAACAGAGAGTGTTAACACAAAACATTCGAGTGTGGCAATCATGGGTGTAAGTGTATATGTGGAGAATACTTTTTTTTGTATTTTTATTTAATCTGAACACGATTACAATAAAGTTGAACTTTATCAAATATTTAAGCTAACATTGCTCATAATTTCAATTCAACAGAATAATTTTCGCAAGAAATTTTTAACTTGGCAACTCTGCTCAGATTCTGCAACTGCTTCTGCGAAAGCAAAATATTAATCAGCTGAGTTTGTTTACAATAAGACTAAGCATTCTCAGTACTGATAAACCATAAATATAAACAACTTTAAATTCACACACACATAAACAAACACACATTATTACACAATTTTTGTTTTTGTATTACAATGCAAAAAAGAAACATTTCCTTTGTTTAAGAGGTGAACGACAATGTTTTACGCAGAAGAAATTTAATATTGCCCGAGTGTTCGTCGCGGTTGTGTTAAAATTAGCTGGAATAATTAAATTCCGATTTTTTGTTTTAAAATCATAAAATTATCAAATTTAACAATTTCTTTTGTTTTTGTAATTTCCTTTCACAATCTTCTTAAACAAAAGCCGTTGAATAACTGAAGTTAAGTTTAGTCGTCCGAAAATTGCGTAGAAAAGTGGTTGTTGAAGGTTTTTAAAGCCTGAAAATTTTTTACTGTGTATTTAAGAAGAAAAAAAATAAGTACGTTAAATATTAGTGCAAAAAAATTTTAAATTACAATTATTGTTATTTTTACGTTTAAACTATATTTATGAAGAAATTTATAATTCGCATATCAATTCATTTTATTAACCTTTGAGCGCAGTGAGATATCAGCGCAAGAGCAAAACGTAAGAGAGCAAATGTGTTGTGAGCATACAGGGTGCTTATGTGTAATTGTTAAAAATAACAATTTTAAATTTCATTTATTTTATTTCTAAATTAGGTATTTTATCGTTAATTAAAATGGAAATAAAATAATAAAATTCAAAAAATTTTTTAAAAAGATAAATTAAAGAAAACATATCAAATATAATATAATATAATTTTTAAAATTATAAAATTTATAAATATAATTTTTCATTTATATTATTTTTAATGAATTATTCTATCTTTAAAGTAAAATAAAAAATATAATTTATTAAAATTCTTAATAATATATAATTGCTCACAATACTCTAGAACTTTAAAATAAAACATACTATTTTATTACTTTACCGAAATAACGAACACGTCTGAATATTTCTACTATTAATTATTGATATTGTAGCATCAGGAGATCTATATTGCACGATACATGAAAGCAATTAAATAATAATAATACATGTGTTAAAATATGAAGTTGGTAGGGGATGAGAAATCATTAGGTCTGTTCCACGAGTTACTCGTAATAAAACTCGAGTAAAACTCAACTAAAGTACAAACTAATAGCGTAACACAAATAAAGTGCCAATTTTCGTCTTTACACAGATTTTCATGGAACAGCTCTGTGTAAAGTTCATATCCAAAAGTTTTTTCTATTTATGAATCTACGTTGACAATACTTCTTCGACATTTGATTTCAAGTATTTTTACTCGAGTAGATATCATCACTCTTTTGGAAAATCATGGCAATGTCCTATCCATTTATTAAAAGTATTATCTCAATCGATAAGTATGTATCTATATAAATATACTAGAGTAAAATAATATATCAAATATATTACTTCTGTTATGTATTATTATTTTAAATACTAAATAAATGCTTATCTGATATATTCGTATACATATATTTGAAAAATGTTTTATATTCACAGATATTCCAATATGTCTAACAAAACAACTTTTACAACGCTTTTACTCCTCATAGCAATTGCAATTGATTTAACCTATTGCTACTCAGCGCTGGAGGACTCGCGTTTAATCTCAGAATATAGAAAGCAATTGCGTGATACATCTAAATATGCAAAAGTGGCTCGTACTTTAGTACATGATGCGGACTGGGCCTCTGTGGGCACTATATCGACAGACAACAACACACTTGATTATCCAACAGTAAATGTAATCTCTACAGATGATAATGATATCAATGGAAAATCGACTGGTAGAATACATTTTCTACTAACTGATTTGGATTTTACTGGCAAGGATTGGAAACACGATAATAAAGTATCTTTCTTATATACTGAAAATCAAACGGGTAAATGTAAGGCACGTGGTGTCGATCCTATGGAACCAACATGCGCTCGCACTTTAATAACTGGTAAAGTTGTAGAGGTAATAATTTAAACTGTTGTATTTGAGTACAGTTGCATATACAAGAGGTCTGTTTTGGGATTCAAACCACCATTAATATTAATAATATTAATATTAGATTTGATGAGTATTTTTCAATTAAATGTTTTCATATCAACTTTGAATTAGTTTTCAAAAATCGTCTTATAAATAAGTCTCTGTATATGCAACTGTATGAGTCGATATATACATTTTAAAATATCTATTTCTTAAATATATATTCTATAAAAATATATTCTAGATGGACAAAAATTCAAATGAATATGTGAACGCCTTGACTGCTTTTAAGCAAAGACATCCTTCTGCCACTAAATGGATGAAAAGTAAATCTAATAAATATTATTTAAATTTTATAAATTATACTAATACCACTTTATTTTTTTATAGCTCATACTTTTTATATATGTGAATTGAATATACGAAATATCTATGTACTTAATTTCTATGGCGGTCCACATAATGTACCTGTTGAAGCTTATTATAGTGCTGTTCTCAATTATTAAAATTATTTTCATATATTGTAAGCTTAAATTACAAGGATTAGTTGCTGTAGATCTTCTAGGTATTTTAGTCGTTTTCTTCGAGGACTTTATAGTTTTCTTATTATACATATATACAAATAATATCTTATTAGCTGAGGGGTGTACCAGGCTGGAGGAGCTTGAGGTTTAAACCAACACTCAAAATATTGCGAACCACTTCATATTAGATATAATAGATTTTTTTTAGTTGAAAGATTTATGAACTTTCAAATAGTTTTCAAAACCCTTTTTAAATGAGTCTCTGCATATCTCACTGCAAATTAATATTATTATGCTCTGTATATGGTTTAATAGATATATAGAATGTCTGCTTCGACAATCAATTTGTCATAAAACCAATAAGGTTGTCTATACTTAAATCTATCTATCTTTCTATCAATAAATATTGATATGATATTTTTGTTTTGTTTTAATAGTACTGTATCCATCTTATAACTGATCTATAAGTAAATGAAATACGCCTTGTAAATATAGACAGTCAGTTTTAGTAGTGATAGCGGAAGAAGAAACATATATGAACAATTTTTTTAAATGAAAAATTTTATATATACAATAACTTACGATATTAATTGTGATAGTTTATATAATAACCATTTTAACTTATAATTTTAAGATGACACTTTTATCTTGAC